CATTCAGTAGTGAAGGTCAGATAAAGAGCTTCACAGATAAGGAAAAGCTAAAGGAGTTCATCACCACCAAACCAGTATTATATGAAATGCTGAAAGGTATCCTTTAAGAAGAGGAAGAAGCAGAAAAAGGTAAAGATACAAATTATGAACAACAAATACGCATCTATCAACAAGTGAATCTAAGAATCAAGTGAATAAAGAATCTGATTAACAGTATGAACTGGTGATTATAATAGAATCAGGGACATAGAAAGGGAATGGACTGTCTATTCTTGGGGGGGAAAGGGGTGTGGGAGATGCGGGAAGAGACTGTACAAAAATCGTTCACCTATGGATGAGGACAGTGGGTGGGGAGTGAGGACGGAGGGTGGGGTGGGAACTGGGAGGAGGGGAGTTATAGGGGGAAAACAGAGGAACAAATGTAATAACCTGAACAATAAAGATTTAATTAAAAAAATAATAAAACACATTAAAAAATCCACTTCAAATTCTCTTTAAGAAACATCAGGGCCCTAACTGGTTTGGCTCAGTGGATAGAGCATCAGCCTACGGACTGAAGGGTTCCAGGTTTGGTTCCAGTCAAGGGCACATGCCCAGATTACGGGCCCGATCTCCAGTGGGGGGTGTGCAGGAGGCAGCCAATCAATGATTCTCTTTCATCACTGATGTTTCACTCTCTCCCTCCTTCTCCCTTCCTCTCTGAAATCAATAAAAATATATTTTTTAAAAAAAGAAACATCAGGGAACATTTATTAAGGGAATATATTTTTTGTGAACTTTTACACATCCATCAAAACCCTACTCAGATGTCTCCATAGGGGCATCAGGAACTGGGATGGTTGAATGAAAGAATGAATTTTTTTCTTGGTAACCTTCTATGTATTCTTTAAAACATCCTCAAATGATCCTTTGCAGACATCAGAAAATCTTGGTTGAGTGAACGAAAACTGTTCTTATGGGTAAATGATGCCTGCTAATGTGTTTGTTAAATAAATTGATAGATTTTTCTCCTTGCGAATTCCTTCTCATCCTTCAACATCCTCCTTGGCTGTCCTCAGGGCCATGAGGGTTTCTTGACCACATGGAGGTAAGCACACTCAGCCCTCCTCAGAGTGAAGGTTACTCCCGAGGGCAGCGGTTCTCAGCCTGTGGGTCACGACCCCTTTGGGGGGTCAAACGACCCTTTCACAGGGGTCGCCTAAGACCATCGGAAAACACATATATAATTACATACTGTTTTTGTGATTAATCACTATGCTTTCATTATGTTCAATGTGTAACAATGACAATACATCCTGCGTATCAGATATTTACATGACGATTCATCACGGTAGCAAAATTACAGTTATGAAGTAGCAGCGAAAATAATGTTATGGTTGGGGGTCACCACCACATGAGGAACTGCATTACAGGGTCGCAGCATCAGGAAGGTTGAGAACCGCTGCCCTAGGGGAAGAAAACGGAAGCCAAGCGGGTAGGGAAGTTCTGTGGCTTCTCTGACAAGATTTCTGATTTCCGGAGGCGGGGAGATGCCTGTAGCCTGCTCCTTCCTGACTTCCCCTCCCCCTGGCTTGTGGGGCATGAAAGTGGGGCAGCCCTGGGGGTATATCCCAGCCTGCTTCTGGGGCACCACGGAGGAACCAATAAAAGTTCTTCAGGGCTTCCTGGCAGGCAGCAGGCGGGCTAAGCGAGGTGGGGTGTGTGTGCAAAGACTTGAAGGTGGGCTGTGGTGAACCTCGGGGTAAACCTTACACTGTGACCTCGATAAGAGTGGAAACATCCCCTCATGTGTGGCTAGGGGCCTGCCCACCAACCCCCATGGCTCCCCAGTGCCCTTGGGGGAAAGCCCAGCCCTTCAATCCGTGACTCCAGGCCCTGGTCCGCGTCACCACCGTCATCTGGCCCCCTGTGTCCAGCTCTCTCCCCACGTACCTCTCTTTCTCTCTCAGTGTTTTTCCAGTAGCTGCTCTGGTGTTGGGGGGTGGGGAAAGAGGTACAACAAAAGCAAAGCCAGTGGGGAGGGAAGGTCCCAAAACAAGCACCCTCTTTATCTTTCTTGCAACCCATTGTGCAGATGGGAAAGCTGAGTCCTAGAAAGGTCAACTTTGGTGGGGAGGGAAGTCGGGGGGGTAGCCCTGGGGCATGTGCCTTACTCTTAAAGGGGCAAAGCTCAGCCACACTGCTGGGCTCTGTCTTCCTATTTCTTCACTTCCAGCCCAGGCTTTGAGTGGTCAGGGCACCTCTGGCCTCAGTTTTCCCATCTGTGAAATGGGGCACATGATGGCATCCCCGGGGTGGGGGTGGGGGCGTGTCTCAGATTGTCAGGAGCGGGTCCATGTGTTTGCCTGTGTCTCCAACCATCTCTTCCATCTTTTTTTAAATTTTCTCTCAACCCCTGTCTCCTTCTCTGTATCTGCCCTTCCCCCAGGCCTCACACATCAGTCCTTGAAATCCATTCCGCCCGCTGGGCCCCAGGCGCTGCTGATGACACTGTGTGGGTCACAGGGTCCTCGTCCCTGCTGTGCCGGGCCGGGAACACTGCCTCTTTGTTCCCGGGGCTCTGACCTCATGGCCTGCTGGACGCCTGACCCTGGCTGGCCCAGCTGGCCCTCGGGACTGAGAGCCCCAGAAAAGGGGCCTCCTTTCTGCCCTCCTGGGCCTCAGTTTCCCCAGATGATCTCCCCCAGCAGAGACCCTCCCCCTGCTCCTCAGTCCCACTGGGCTTCGTGAACATTTTTTTTTTAGCTGAAAATCACATAACATGAAACAAACCATTTAAAAATGCATAATTTTGCCGAAACCGGTTTGGCTCAGTGGATAGAGCGTCGGCCTGCGGACTGAAAGGTCCCAGGTTCGATTCCGGTCAAGGGCATGTACCTGGGTTGTGGGCACATCCCCAGTGTACCTGGGGATGTGCAGGAGGCGGCTGATCAATGTTTCTCTCTCATCGATGTTTCTAACTATCTCTCTCCCTTCCTCTCTGTAAAAAATCAATAAAATATATTAATAAAATAAAATAAAATAAAATGCATAATTCAGTGGCATTTAGCCCATTCACTGTGTTGTGCAACAGGCGCCTCTGTCTAGCTCCAGAACATTTCATCACCCCAAAGAATACCCCATCCCCAGGAGCTGTTGGGGGTGCTCCCTCCCCCAGCCCCTGACAACCACTCATCTTTCCGTCTGTGGATTTGCCTGTTCTGGTCATTCCATGCCAGTGGATCACACATGTGGGCTTTCGTGTCTGGCTTCCGTCGCTCAGTGCCGTGGTTTCAGGTTTACCCATGTGGTAGCATGCATCCTCTCCACGGGCATTTGGGGTCTTTGCTGACAGGGGGGGAAAGGGTGGAACACTGAGACCCCCAGAGGCCCAGACACAGACACAGGAGGAAGGCTAATCTGAGCCTAGAAGAAGCGAAGAGGCTCTTCGGAACGGAGACCCCGGGTGCCCTGAGGCTGGAGTTTGGGAAATGGGAAGGTGAGCATTTTGGGGGGCTGCGTGTTCAGCAAGCACCTCATCATTTGTTGGGAGAGCGACCTCAGATATCCAAGGACACTGGACTCCATTCAGCTCCTGAGTCCCAGAGGTTGTTTGGAGAGGGCGAGAGACCGGGCCAAGGACACAGAGCCCAGGCCACCCAGGGCACGAGCACTGGGGGTCCAGCCGGGGTCTGGGGCCAGCAGAACAGAACCCCAGACCAGGGACCCTGGGTCTGACTTGCCCCAAAAGTGGGTTGTGGCGGCACGAGGCCACGGCCACCCCTGAGCTGACTTCCTGGGTTTCTCTTTCATTTTGACTCACCTGCCCGGGAGGGGCCATGACACTTAACTTTTTTTTTTTTAACCTTTTTACTTTTCTTTCATGCTCAGCTTCAAAGTGTTCTGGGGTGAGGGCAGGGCAGTTGGGGTCTCACTGGCAGCGCAAAAGCTCTTCGGAGGCCACAGGCCCCTGCGTGGACCCGATGGGGTGGCCGGTGGCCAGGCTGGCCCCTCTCCTCCTCTTCTTGCTCCCCTGGCCGTGTGGTAAGTTTCCACTCGGGCGCCCCCGCTTGTCCTGCTGGGGGGCGTGTGTGGGGAGGGCCAACGACCTGGCTCCGGGGCTGGCTTTGCGTCTCTGCGCCTTTCTCTCTCCATTACATGGGCGATCGGTGATCACGGCTTTTGGGGTCAGACTTGGGCACCTCCCCTTTCAGCCTTGATTCTGTCTTATGTAGAATGGGCTGGATGTTTGAGTCTTCCCCACCTCCCGTAGTTCAATGAGAAATGGCCAAGGAAGGGGTAATGAGCAAGGATGTGTATGAGAGACATACCTAACACGGTGTTATGTGGAATCGGTGGGGAGGGGCCCGGCCTCCCGTGGAAGACTGGGTGTGGACTCCTTTTTTTGTTTTGTTATATATTTTTATTGATTTCTGAGAGGAAGCGAGAAGGAGAGAAATAGAAACATCAGTGATGAGAGGGAATCATTGATCGGTTGCCTCCTGCACGCCCCACACTGGGGATCGAGCCTACCAGGCATGTGCCCTAACCAGGAATCGAACTGTGATCTCCTGGTTCACAGGTCAGTGCTCAATCACCGAGCCACGCCAGCCAGGCTGGGTTTGCTCTGCCATTCCAGCTGTGTGACCTTGGGCAACATTTTGCCTCTCTGTGCCTCAGTTTCCCTCTCTGTACACTGGCGATTAGCAAGGTTTCAAGGCTTCTGGGTGTCAGACAGGGCTGAAGATTGGGATGCTGGATTGCTTTGGAGGAGCAGCCTGAGAGATTGAGGGGTGGATGGATGGATGGATGGATGGATGGGTGGATAGGTGGTTGGGTGGAGAGATGGATGGATGGATGGGTGGGTGGGTGGATGGGTGGAGAGATGGATGGATGGATGGTTGGGTGGATAGAGGAATAGATGGATGGGTGGACGAGTGGGTGGGTGGTGCATAGATGGAAAAGCGGGTAAGGGGGTGGTGGATGGCCACTTGGCCACCCCGGGCTGAGCCCCGCTCCCCAGGCAGTGAATGGCGGGGACGGTCATTATCTCTTCGTTGTCTTTACAGCTGAAGCCTGCAATACCAGCAGGTGCAGTTTTCAGGACCCGCCGTATCAGAACGCAGACTCAGGTTGGGACAGTTTCCCATCAAGGTCGTGCTGGGCTCTGACTGACAGATCCCCCACAGCCCTTCCCTCGGCTCCCCCTGCCCAGCCAGAGCCTCGGGTCCACCGGGGCCCCCCGGAACTCCTGCCTGCAGCCTGCCAGCTTGTCCTCACCAAGCTTCGGTGTCCTGGAGCAGCCACCCTCTCTGGGCCCCGTCTCCTCCCTGGCAGGGTGGCAGGGCTGGTGTCTGCCTCGGTTCAGATGGGTCAACATGTGGGGCAGAGTATCTGTTAACTATTTTGAATTTCTAATCCCCTCCCCGGCAGGCACTGCTGGAATATTTAGCCTGGCAACGCACCCCCACTAAGGCTCTGCCACCCAATCTTTTGTTCAAGAGATATTTATGGAGCACACACTATGTGCTCACACAGTCCTAGACATGAAGGAATCAGCTGCTAGCCCAGTCGCCCTCCTAGGGTAGCAGCCTCATGCCGGAGGTCGACAGCAGGTCCACAAATGCATATGCTGCCTGCAATGACATGCACAGAGCTGGCTGAGGGGTGGAGGGGGAGGGGGCTGCTTCCAGTTGGCTGGTTGCGGGGGAGGTGACACTGAAGGAAAACCTGGAATGTCAAGATCTGGGGGCAGGCACAGCATGTGCAAAGGCCCTGTGGTGGGAGTGAGCCTGGTGTGTTTGAGGGCCCAGGAGGAGGCTGGTGTGGCTGGAGCAGGGGGAGCAGGGGGGATGGCAGCAGACAGGAGTGAAAGCGCAGGAGGGTGCTGGGAGCTCGCTGTTCAGACCGTGGAGGCAGGATTTCATAAATGTCACCAAGACTCATCTTGAGACTCCTCCCCTACTCTGGTCTGTTCTCAAACCTCCAGGATTTCCTCCAGGCTCAGCCACAGGCCCCAGAGCCCTGAGCTGCTACCGGATGTTTGGCGCCTGTTACGAATGTTCCTGGGAGTATGAGGGCTCCGCGGCTGGAGTCAAGCACTTCCTGAGGGGCTGGTGAGGACCCCTTCCCAGACCCCAGGCCCTCAGCCACACCCTGCTCCGGCTCCTGACCCGGTGCTCCTGCCCTCAGATGTGTGATCACAGCCCAGGGCTGGTGCCTCCTCCTGGGCCTCAGTTTCTCCTGTGAGCAGGAGGGTGGGGAGCTCTGTGTCGTGAGGGGTCAGCCTGGGTGGGCATCCAAATTGGGCAGCAATCAGCGTCTCTCTAGTCCTTCGTCCATCCTCACCCTCTCACTCATTTGTTTGTTCATCCGTCCATTCACCCATCAATCCATTTCCTCCTCCTCTTTGTGAAAGCTCATGTTGGGAGACCTGGGGTCCCACCAGCCCCTCGATCCCAGGCTGATCTCCGAGGAGCCCCAGGTTTGGGAGGGGGAGTCAGAGGGGAAGAGAAGGAGGCAGGGGTGTGACGCACGCTGCCTGCTGGGCTGAGACCTGGCTGGGATCCACCAGGACCCCAGCTCAGCACCAGCACCCTCCTCCCCGCAGCCTCAGGCCCGGCCACTGCTGCTACTTCCCTGCGGTCTCGGGCACCAAGCTGCAGTTCTCCGAACAGGACGGGGTACCTGTGCTCGACAACGTCACTCTCTGGGTGGAGTCCCGGGCCGCCAACCGGACAGAGAAGTCGCCCGAGGTCACCTTGATCCTATACCGCTCTGGTCAGCACCCCTTCTCGTCCTCCTCTTCCTGCCGCCCTTTCCTCACACAGAGATGCCTCTGGTCCCCAAGCCTAGACCGGCGGGGGGGGGGGGGGGGTGGTTCCGGGGCCCTGACAAAGGGCTTGAAAATTCCACCCACTGACACATCTAACACTGTTGCGTGACTTTGCAGAGCCTGTCATGGCCTCCAGTAACTTGGCAGCCACCACTTTGTTTTTAAATGTATTTTATTGATTTATGTACAGTGTGGAAGGTAGAGGGATAGAGAATTAGAAACCTCAAAGATAGAGAAACCTCAATCAGCTGCCTCCTTCACACCTCCTACTGGGAATATGCCCTAACCCTAACCCTAGCAGTAGCCCTAAACCGAACCCGAACCCGAACCCGAACCCGAACCCGAACCCGAACCCGAACCCTCACCCTCACCCTGACCCTGACCCTGACCCTGATCCTAACCCTACTGCTGGACATTCAGGTTGCTCTGGGTTTCTCCCTGACACTGTAATGGTGCCAAGACCCTGTTGGGTTTTTAAACTGTTGTGGGTTTTTTTATGAGTCAACAACATACATTTATTTATTTTTTTAAAAAAATATATTTTTATTGATCTCAGAGAGGAAGGGAGAGGGAGAAACATCAATGATGATAAGAAAAAAAAAAGAAACAATAGTGATGAGAGAGAATCATTGATCGGCTGCCTCCGGCACGCCCCCTACTGGGGACTGAGCCTGTAACCTGGGCATGTGCCTGGCCAGGAATAGAACGGTGACCTCCTGGTTCATGGGTCAACGCTCAACCACTGAGCCACACCAGCCAGGCAACAACATGCATTTATTTATTTATTTATTTTTAAATGTATTTTTATTGATTTCAGAGAGGAAGAGAGAGGGAGAGCGAGATAGAAACATCAGTGATGAGGGAGAATCATTGATTGATCCGGATCAAGTCCACAACCCGGTCATGTGCCCTTGACTGGAATTGAACCTGGGACCCTTCAGTCCACAGGCTGATGCTCTATCCACTGAGCCACGCCAGCCGGGCAACAACATGCATTTAGCATATAGTTGTGGAGCTGCCCCTGTGTACCACCCTGAGCCATAGGGGCCATAGGCAAGGCCGACAGAAGTCGCAGCCTGGGGTTGGGACTAGAATGAAGCCAGCAAGGGCACCACCTTGTGTACAGAACTTTAAGTGGTGCCAAAAACCCTCGGTGGCTAATAGAAACAATGCTGTAACGCAGTATTTTTAAAAGTCAAAATTAATGTAAAAATCCATGACGAACAAAATATCAAAATTTTAGATAAAGACAGGATCCAACCCTGTACTTGTACAACCTTGCCCCTTGTACAACCTTCATGGAGCCCAGATTCAAGTGGGGGTGATGGATGAGGTGTGGTCAACACACACGGTGAGATACTGCTGGGAGGTCAAGGTGTTGCCTCCGGCTCAAGCTGAGTCCTGAAGGATAAGTGAGTCCAGCAGGAAGAAAGGTTGGAAGTGTGTTCCAGGTGGAGATGTGTGCCACAGCAAGTGCAAAGGCCCTGGGGTAGAATCGGGCATGACAAGATGCTGGATGTCTCTCCTTAGGTCAGGCTCCTTGAAGTGGGCCTAAAAACATTAGTAAGATTTCCCCAATAGTCCTCCAGAAAACAGAATCAATTAATTACCCTCTTGTCAGCAAGGGGCCACCTCACCACAGCTTTGTCAGCAGTGAGCGATAATATCTTAAAGATTTCTTCACTAACAGGATGCTGTGTGTAAATGTTGACTCCCTGACTCGTAGAATTCTAGGCTTAGGCTGCAAGGGTGCCCCTGATTCATGTTTGGGGGACTTGGCTGGCTACCCTGGGTTGGGCGGGGTGTGGGCAGATTTTCTGGAATTTTGGGGACCAAGGGCTCCCACCAATGTCGGCGTCCCCTCCCCATCCTCTGCCTCGGCTTCCAGTTAAGTACGACCCGCCGCCAGAGGACATCCAAGTGTCACGCGTAGCAGGGGAGCTGCACCTGCAGTGGGAGACCCCCGCCCGCCAGGATGGCGCCGAGGTGCAGTTCCGGCGCCGGACGCCTGGCAGTCTGTGGAAGTTGGTGAGTTTGCTTCCCGGGTCAGGGGTGGGCACAGGCCTCTTCCAGGGCACGTTCTCCCTTAAATCAGTGTCATCATCTCTACATCCGTTACCCCTCCCGCCGGCCCCCACGCTCGCCCCAGGTCTAGCCTTTGAGGTTTTTCTGGGGAGCAGCTCTGATGGTGACCGCCCTGTTCACCCCCCCCCCCATGGCCCCCTAATGTCTCCGGGAGGCTTCCTTGTCCCCGGCAGCCCTAGGGGCCCTCACCTGCCTCCGGCCTCCTCTGGCGCCCTCCCGCAAGGCCATCATTCTCTGCTTACCCCTGGGTTTCCAGCCTCCCCACGTAGACTTTCCTCCACTTGCTCGACCCCCTCTTCACATGAGCACGTGAATCCAGCCCCAGGGCCACCTCTTCCAGCAACCGCCCTTCCACACATTCCTTCTTCTCTCTCGCCCTCCCTTCCTTCGTTTTAAAAATTGAGATATGCCCTGGCCGGTGTGGCCCAGTTGTTAGAATGCCATCCGTGCATCCAAGGGTTGCGGGTTCATTTCTCAGTCAGGGCATATACCCAGGTTGCAGGTTGGATCCCCGCTCAGGGAGTATGTGTGACGTCTCTCTCTCACCATATTTCTCTCTCCTTCTCCCTCCCCCCCCCCTCTCTCTCATCAATGAGAATTAAAAGAGAGAGAGGAATTGATGTTTCATCTCTCCCTCTTCCTTCCTCTCTGAAATCAATAAAAAATATATAAAAATAAATAAATAAAAGAGAGAGAGAGAGAGAGAGAGAGAGAGAGAGAGAGAGAACTGACATATAACATTACATTAGTTTCAGGTGTATAACATAATGATTCAATATTTGTACATATTGCAACGTGACCACCACAATAAATCTAGTTAGCTTCTGACACGATGCATAGTTACAGATTTTCTTTTTCTTGTGATGAGAACTTTTAAGGTCTACTCTCCTAGCAACTTCCAAACATGCAATACAGTATTACCGGCCACAGTCCCCACGCTGCACGTTACATCCCCACGACGACTGGCCTTGTAACTGGAAGTCTGTATCTTTTGACCGTCTTCAACCATTGCTCCTACGCCCCGCCCCCGATTCTCCGGCAACCACTTACTCTATCTGTTCTCTGCATCCGTGAATTTGGTTTTCTATTTTGTGTTTTTTTAGGTTCCACATATAAGTGAGATCATATGGTTTTGTCATTCTCTGTCTAATTTATCTCACTTAGTCCAACGCCCTCAAGTTTTGTCACAAATGGCAAGGTTTCCTTATCTTTTATGGCTGATTAATATCCCATCGTAGGTACATATATCACCTTACTCATTCATCGATCGATAGACGTCTCGCTGTTCCCGTGTCTTGGTTATTGTAAATGATGCTGCAGTGAACACAGAGGTGCATGTCTTTTCGAGTTAGTGTTTTTGTTTCCTTCGGGTGAATACCCAGAAGGGGAGTTGCTGGGTCGTCCGCTGGTTCTGTTTTTAATTCTTTGCTGGATGTCCACACTATTTTCCATAGCGGCCGCATCAATTCACAAGCCCATCAGCAGTGCACAGGGCCCCCTGGTCTCCGCATTCCCGCCAGCATTTCTCGTCTCTCCTCTCGTAGCCGTTTTAACAGGTGTGATGTGCAGGGTGGCTTTGCTCTGTGTTTCCCTGATGGTTCGTGATGCTGAGCATATGTTCACGCGCCTGCCGGCCATCTGTGTGTCTGCTCTGGGCCTTCATTCACTCAGCTTCTGTCTGTTCCCTGCTCTGTAGCCCCACTGCCCCAGTCAGACAAGCCTGCCCTGCAGAAACCTCAGCCCAGACCCAGTCCCCAAGGAGCCCCAAGTTTGAGGGAGGCAGAGACACCCCCCCCCCAGCCTCTGAATTGTGGCCAGTCTTCTCCTCCCTCGGCCTGGGAGCATCCCGAGGGCAGGGGGTGGCCTCAGCTTCACCCCCATCTTCCTTCCAAATGCTGTGTCCCTCCTGAGACTCAGTTTTCCCATCAGAGGTCTAGGTTCGGATCCATCAGTAGCAGGTGATATGGGACCCTGATGGGGAGGGACCTCTATGTTTTATCTCCAGCCCCCTAAGCACACTCGGCAGTAGGCCCTCTCAGACCCCTTTGTGGGTGAGGAAACTGAGGCTCGGGTGGCAGGAACTTCTCAGGGTCCCCAGGGAGTGGGGGGGGTGGGGTAGGCTGGGCAGGGCTCTTCTGATCCCCAACACAGCAGACAGGTAGGTTTTGCCTCCTAAAATATATATTTTTAGGAAATTATAAAATAAAGTTTGTCTCCTAAAATAATTCTTTTAGAAATGTTTAAAATTGGAATCATCTTAGATTTTCAGAAAAGTTAAAAATAAATACAAAGAGATCCCATAGAACCTTTGCCCAGCTTCCCTCCTTACATCCCTGACGGCGATGCACAGGGCACATTACTAGGGACCAAACTCCAGAGGTTACTGGATGCTACTCAGTTCCCCAAGAATGCCTTCTTTTTGCTCGTGGATCCATCCCAGGGTTTCGTATTGCACTTAGTAAAATCATATTTTTAAGTAGGATGTTAATAATAAATGAATAATATTTATACTAATAATATTAGAGCTAATATTTTTCAGCGTCAAAATGTAAAACAACATATGAATATGGTCTTGTCCTAGGGTGACTGTGGACCTCAGGATGATGCTGGCTTTGGTGAGAATAAGAATAGTAACAGCAACAGCTGCAGCAAATTATCATGAATCAAGCACCTACTGTGTGCCAGACAAGTGCTAAATTCTTTGTATACCTGTTGGTCTGCCCTGTGGTTCTGTATTGGACTGGTCCCATTTTACAGGTGAGAAAACAAAGGCTGGGGTGTGTGTGAGAAGCCATAGGCCAAAGTCACATTACAAGGGGTGGCCTTGCTGGGACTCGAACCAGGGACAGAGAAAGAAGTAGATGGTCCTTGAGACCCCAGGAGGACAGGCTATGGCCTGTTCCTGCCATATCCTCAGGGCCTGGCACACAGTTGGCTCTTAGAAAGTGCATGTATACAATTGGCACCCAATAAGTGCATGCACACAGTTAGCACTCAATAAGTGCACAATGGCTAAGTGACCAGTGCCATGCCCACTGCACCCCCAAATGTGGGACAGCCCCTTGGTCTGATGTTGGATCTCTTTCCCCCAGAGTCCTGCGGCGGCCCGCTGGAGAGGAACGAGTCCCAGGAATTCCAGCTCAGGCGCCGGCAGCTGGGGCCCGGCGCCCTGCAAGGTCCCTGGAGCGGCTGGAGCAGCCCCGTGTGTGTCCCCCCTGGTGAGCGTGCCCGGAGCTACAGGAACAGGGGCAGGCCTGAGAAATACGGCAGCGGGTCTTAGAACGAAGGCAGCAAGTGTTAGAAACAAGATGAGAGGTTTTTGAAACGAGGCAGGAGGAGAAAGTAGTGAACATCACGAACAGGTGGCAGTGAGCGGGTTTCACTTTGTAAGTTGTGGTGAATCCATAATCCAAAAAGAAAGCATTTACCAGCCTTCTTCTCCTTCGTTTGGTCGGTTGGTTTTGTCTTTTAAAGTCGCAGGAGGAATAGACAGGTGCAGGGGCTGTGTCGGGAAGACACGGTCCCAAAGAACACAGGCAGCGGGAGCCTGGGCAGCTCAGGAGAGATGTGCCCCGGCTCCCCTACCCCCCCA